GCACCCTGGAGACCAGTGCCCACGGTGAAGAGGGTTAAACACTGCCTATTGGCGTCCCCATGGCCCCCACAACCTGGGGACCAGTGCCCACAGTGAGGGGGTTAAACACTGCCCACCACCTTATCCATGGCCACTGCACCCTGGAGACCTGTGCCCACGGCGGAGGGGGTTAAACACTGCTCACCAGTGTCCCCACAGCCACTGCATCTGGGGACCAGCGCCCATGGCAGAGGGGGTTAAACACTGCCCAATGGTGCCCCCATGGCCACCGCACCCTGGGAACCAGCCCCCACAGCTGTGGGGGTCAAACATTGCCCACAAGCATCTTCACGGTCACCCCACATCCTGGGGACCAGTGCCTATGGTGCCTCTGCCCACTGGAGTACCCACGGCCACCACACCCTGGGGCCCAGCGCCCACTGGCGTCCACTCCTGACCGAGCGGTGGTAAGGCAGGCGTGCGGCAGACACGGGCCTCGGGGATTTTAGAGGACAGCAGGTGGCTCGGTGGTACTTTCCCAGCGTCAGTTCCTGGCCAGGCCCCTCCTGTGCAGCCACTGGCCGTCTGTGCAGAGGGTGCGTGCTGCCGTGATGCTGAGTTTGCAGACTGAGACACACTAGCAGGAAAGGCCTGGTGCTGAGCTCCCCAAGTCAGCCACGAGCAGCTGTGAACCGTCCCTGACCACGGGGATGGCGCTGGACAGGGCAGCGTTTCCGGGACACCATGAGTCAGGCTGGCTCAAGGGCCGCTAACAGCAATCCTCCGAGTCGGTGGTCACTCAAACGACCTCGGCCTCCGAGCAAGCGCAGACCGCACAGAGGACAGGGCCCCAGCGGCCAACCAGACTCTGAAGAGTGAGGGTTTCCTTCTCAGGAGCAGCAGACGGTGACTTCATCCCTCCTAGACCTGCACTTGGCACCTTCCGGGCTCGTCACTGACGGGCGTCGTGTCACATCAGCAAAGGCAGCTCCTTCACCAGAAGCTGTTGTTACCAGAGGCCTTGGACCAAGGATGCATCACAGCGACCTCGTGAACACAGACCTGACATCCCAAGCTGAGCTGTGCCATCACCGCTGACACGTGAGAGCCCACTGCTGACATCACTATCTGACTCCATTTCCCTGCGGAGTCTTCCTCTCCTTCGCTGGCCCTCCTCCATCCACGCATGATGTCCCACGAACGGCTTCCCTAGCTACATTTCTCAAATATGAGATGAAGCTTCACAATCTTTGCCTCCAAGGAGTATTCTGGCTGCACTTTCTCCAGAACATGTTGGTTTGTTCTCTTGGCCGTTCACGGGATGTTCAGTGTTCTTCTCCAACACCACAGCTCAAAGGCATCATTCTTCTGCGGCCATTCTTACGCATTGTCACAGCAGGTGACTGAGAAGACCATGGCCTGAGTCGGGCACACCTTAGTCTTCTAAGTGACATCATTGCTCTTCAGTATTTTGGAGATATTCCTGATAGCAGACTTGTCCAATGCAGTATGTCTCCTGATTTTCTGACTCTGGCAGCATGCTGACCGTTGATCTAAGCAAGATGAAGCCTCCGCCAGCTTCAATCTTCTCTCCATCTGAGTACTGGTCCTATAGTGAGGACCTCTGGTTTTCGGATGTTGAGATGTAACCCATTCTGAAGTCTGCAGCACTTCATATCCTCCTCACCTTCCACAAGTAAGGCTGTGTCATCTACGTGGGGCAGGTTGTTGAGGACTCTTCCTATGATCCTAATGCCACATTCCTCTTCACGGAGTCCAGCTTCTCCAAGGATTTGTTCAGCATATAGACTGAGTAGGTATGGAGAAAGGATGCATCCCTGACACTCACCTGTCCTGGTTCCCAGCCATGCACTGTTTCCTCGCTCTCTGATAGGACAACAGCCTCTTGATCTAGGTGTTGATTTCTCATGAGCACAATTGCCTGTTCTGGGAACAGTCTTCTCAGTGTTACCATAATTGTTACGATCGACAGAGCCACGCACCTCTGCGTGGCCAACCTGAGTCATTAAGGTGGACGCTAGTTTGAGAAGCCACTTCCTCCCGGCACCGTCCTGAACAACACTCCGATTCTATCCATGGGGTTCTCAGGGTCCCTTAGGCAAGAGGCGGAAGGCCAGTCCTGCTGCTTCATCTGGAGGTGCCAGTGAACCCTGTCCACCGTGGGTGGCCTCACTGGCACCTGAAACACAGGCAGCACAGCTCTCAGCACCACAGCAGCACCAGGAGACGAGGAGTGCACAGATGCACAAGCTCAGTGAATGCACTGGGCCCCGGCTGATGGAGTTGTATTTAAAAATGGGGGGTAAAGATGCCTCCCTGCTGAGCCGTGGTCTGGTCCAGACACTGTAACCCACTGATGACTGACTCAGGCAAGAGGACAGCGATGGTTAGAGGACGCTGCCATCACCCAGCGTCAGGATGACCCCAGCGGCAGAGCACCGAGAGCCAGCTGGGCACTGACCACCGTGGGGTGTGAGCGATCACCGGACATGACATTGACCTTCAGGCTCCGGAAACGTGCCCAGCACTGTGTAGGCCTTCCTTAAATCTCACCACACCTTCAGGTCTGCATGAATATCAGTTTTTCTGTGGCTGGGGACAGTGAGATGCTTATAAACCAGCCAAGTCCGGAGTCAGAGAGTCATGGGGCTGACCGGATCCAGAAAACAAGGGATCTCCAAGCTTACCTGTCCTTCTCGCTGGTACAGCTGTGCAGGAGGTATTTCCATGCGAAAGCAAAGCCTTGATAGCATCCAATCTGTAAATTGAGAAAATGTTTAAGAGGGAATTAATAAGCACCTAGCTATACCGTATCTAATTACCAACTCTAATATAAAGGCGGGTGTGGTGGGCCAGATACTTGTTAGGTTGTTCACGAGGCCCTGCCCTTACCAGGCTAGGAGTCAGCAGAGGAGCCAGTGGCCTCCAAGGAGGCCCCGAGGTCCACAGTGCGGCCTTCCCACCTTTGCAGAGTCATCACCCTGAATGAGGGAGGGATGTGTAGCCAAGAAAACACACAGGAATGGGTGGGAGGATGACTTCTGAGCCTAAGCCACAAAAGACATCATCACCACCAAAGGGACTCTGAAACAAAGGTAAGAATGGGAGGAGACCGGAAACTGGGTGAGAGAAAACAGAATAACCAGAGTGTAAATGACAGGAATGTTCACCACTGTGAACGGAACCGAGGTCGCTGTATCTGAGCAGAACAGGACCCTGAACTACTGTGTAAATGTGCATCAAAAGCACAGTAAGATTACATTGTTGTTGTCATGGGCCATCAAGTTGCCTGTGCCTCAAAGCGACCCTATGTACGACCCCTCTGAACTCTGCTCTATTCTGAGCCAACGTCATCATCTCTGACACTCCTACGCCCATTACCCCACTCACTGAGCCAATCCATCTCATCGAGAGTCTTCCTCTCTTGCGATGTCCCTCCACTCTCACAAGTATATAATGTCCCTCTCCAAGGATAGGTCCCTTCTTGCCACATGCCCAAAATATGTCAGATGGAGCTCCAGAATCCTTGCCTCCAAGAACAGCCTGGTTTCACCTAGTCCAGGACGAAGCTGTTTGATCTCTTAGCAGTCCATAGTATATTCTTCTTTAACACCACAGTTCAAAAACCTCAACTGTCCTATCATCCCTAGTCACTGTCCAGCTTTCTGATGCATAGCACATAACTGCGAATACTATGGCCTGGATCAGGTGCACCTTAGTCTCCAGCCTGACATTATTGCTCTTCAGTACTCTGGAAATGTCCCTGATAGCCGACTTTCCCAAAGCAATTTATCTTTTAATTTCTTGGGTGCTGGTAGCAAGAGTGTTGATTATGGAGCCAAGTAAACTAACACTGTTAACAACCTCAATCTGTTCACCATCTATAATCATGCTGCCAATTGCCCAGTGGTGAGAATCTTTATTTTTTCCTTAATGTTTAACTTCAATTCATATTGAAGACTACAGTCTTTGACCTTCTGCAGCAAACTTCTCAGGTCCTCCTCAGTTTCAGCAAGCAAGGTTGTGTCATCTGCACAATGCAGACTATTGATGAGTCTTCCTCCAATCCTCATGCCACATTCCTCCTCATATAGCCCAGTGTCCCAGATGATCAGTTCCACATTTAGGTTGAAAAGGTACGGAGATAGGACACATCCCTGTCAACCTCCTTCCCAATTTTGAACCATGCGGTGTTCCCTTGCTCTGTTCTGACGACTGCCTCCTGGTCCAAGGATAGGTTTCGTATAAGCACAATCAAGTATTCTGAGATTTTCATTCTTCTTATAGTTAGCCACAGTGACCCACATAGTCAAATGCCTTTGCATAGTCAATGAAACACAGATAGACACTCCTCCGGTACTCTCTGCTTTCAGCTAAGATCCGTCTAACATTAGATATCACATTCCTAGTGCCAAGACCTCTTCTACACCCAGCCTGCACATCTGGCATGTGATGTGCGGTTCCAGTCGTTTCTGAATCATTTTCAGCAGAATCTTGCTTGCATGTGTGATATTAAAGATACTGTTTGATAATTTCTGCACTCTGTTGGATCGCCCTTCTTTGGAATGGGAAACGAACATGGATCTCTTCCAGTCAGTTGACCGGGTGATTGTCCTCCAGATTTCTCGGCACAACCTGGTGAGCACATTCAGGGCAGCATCTGTTTACTGAAATATGTCAATTTGTGCGCTGTCAATGCCTGGGGCTTTGTTTTTTTGGCAATTCCTTCAGAGCAGCATGAACTTCTTCATCACCACAGGCTCTTGCTCATACATTGTTTCAAGAAATTCTTCTATTGTCAGCCAGTTGTTTTTGGTATAGTGACTCTATATACTACTTCCACCTTCTTTTAATGCTTCCTGGATCATTTCATATTCTGCCCAAAGCATCCTTAGGTATTGCAACTCAAGGCTTGAATTTGTTCCTCAGTTCCTTCGGCTTAAAAAATGCTGAGCAAGTTCGGCCCCTTGAATTATCTGATTCCAGCTCTTGGCGCATTTCATTATAATACTTTGCTTTGTCTTCTGGCACTGTCCTTTGAAATGTTCTGTTCAGCTCCTTAATTTCATGATTTCTTTTCTTTGCTTTGGCTTCTCAGTGCTCTAGTGCAATATTAAGAGTCTCATTTGACATCTACCTTGGTCTTTTCTCCCTTCTCTTTGTACTTTTTTTTAAAAAAAAAAAAAGACCACAACAAGATAAAGGTAAATAATTCAATGGAAAAATGAGCACAGGATACGAACAGACACTTCACCGAAGAAGACATTCAGATGGCTAACAAGCACGTGAAGAAATGTTCAAAATCCCCAGCTCTAAGAGAGATGTAAATTAAAACAACAATGAGATATCATCTCACCCCTGTCAGAATAGCAAAAATTTAACAGAACAGCAAACAACAAATGCTGGCGAGGTTGTGGAGAAACTGGAACCC